CCCCAAAACCCCAAAACCCCAAAACCCCAAAACCCCGGTTGAGGAAGAGATTATTGAAAAGGGGTGGTTTATGTGAGGTTAGCAGAGCTTGGAGGGGTGTGAAGGAGTGTTGAGGAGGGAAATTGGTGGGAGGATGGTTTGGTAGTGAGTTTTGTAGAGTCGAGATAGGGGGTTTGGGATGTTCTCTTGAGTCTATTGGCTGATGAAGATTTTCTTGTGGTATTGTGGTGGTTGGAGGAATTTAGTTTTTGTAATAGTTCTTTTTTGAGCCTCTTAAAGCTTTCTAGCTGTTCTTTTGTCTATAAATGTTTCGATTATGTAAGTAGAAAATGAGAAAGTTATTCAGAGATAATGCCAACATTTTGATGTCATTTTAATAGTGATTGACAAAAGTTAGAAAAAATGATATAAAATGAGGGAAGCAGTTGTTGTTAAAATGCTAAGAAATGGGGACAAAGATATGTTTATAAAATAATGAGGAGCTTAAATTTTAGAATTCCTTTCACCAAATAATTTTAAGAATGGTTTTTACTCATTATTAATAATTTATAACATTTACCAAAAAGTGCAAATTATATAAAAAGATGACAAGATTTAATCACCTGAATTTCGTTAAAATCAACAGGTATTTTCAGTACTAATTTCTTACGTTTTTGGAATACTTCATCCATTTTGAAAGTAAAAACACTTGTTGAGCTATTTCATTTCTTTCCTTCATTTCTATATAGAATAATGAGCTAGAAAAATTATTGCAGTTTAGTATTTTACCAGAAATTCCTAAGATTTCTGGTAAGTCTGTGCATACAATAGCCACTGTCAGTATAGTTTAGTTTAAGCTTACCTCTATAATTTTTATTTAGTTATCTCAATATTTTGAAGTAAAGACTGCTTCTCCTTCTTCAATTCTTTCCTGCTTTCCTTGATGCTATACTTCTCCCTCCTCATTGCCTTGATTTCCTCAATATCTTTCTTATAAAAAGTATCTATAAGCAATCAAACTTGCCCTCTCTAACCCATTCAAATCAAACTCTTAATTCCTTACCTTTATTTCTCATCATCCTAATCCTCTCCTTCTCATCCTCCCTAAACACATTACACTAATCCTACATTTGGCAGACCTCATACATTTTCTGGATAAGAAGCATATCTTTGGCACAGCTGCGCACGCGGTTCTCGTTAACCTCAATGGCTTGCATGAGTTTGAGTTTTGTGTGGGCGAGTTGTTTAGACATGTTTATTATTATACCAACTTAAGATAATTAAATAGGGGTTTTGGGGTTTTGGGGTTTTGGGGTTTTGGGG